TTCAACCTGATACCGACATTGTGCTAGTATATTATTACAGCTGGCGGAGGTTCAACCTGATATTGACATTGTGCTAGTATATTATTGCAGCTGGCCGAGGTTCAACCTGATACCGACATTGTGCTAGTGTATTATTGCAGCTGGTGGAGGTTCAACCTGATATTGACATTGTGCTAGTATATTATTGCAGCTGTTGGCGGTTCAAGCTAATATTGATATTGTGCTAGTATATTATTGCAGCTTGCCGAGGTTCAACCGGATATTGACATTGTGCTAGTATATTATTACAGCTGTTGGAGGTTCAAGCTGATATTAACATTGTGCTAGTATATTATTGCAGCTGGCGGAGGTTCAACCTGATATTGACATTGTGCTAGTATATTATTGCAGCTTGCCGAGGTTCAACCGGATATTGACATTGTGCTAGTATATTATTGCAGCTGTTGGAGGTTCAAGCTGATATTGACATTGTGCTAGTATATTATTGCAGCTGGCGGAGGTTCAACATGATATTGACATTGTGCTAGTATATTATTGCAGCTGGCGGAAATTCAACCTGATATTGACATTGTGCTAGTATATTATTGCAGCTGGCGGAGGTTCAAGCTGATATTGACATTGTGCTAGTATATTATTGCAGCTGTTGGAGGTTCAACATGATATTGACATTGTGCTAGTATATTTTTGCAGCTGGTGGAGGTTCAAGCTGATATTGACATTGCGCAAGTATATTTTTGCAGCTGGTGGAGGTTCAACCTGATATTGACAATGTGCGAGTATATTATTGTAGTTGGCCGAGGTTTAAGCTGATATTGACATTGTACTAGTATATTATTGCAGCTAGCCGAGGTTCAACCTGATATTGACATTGTGCTAGTATATTATTGCAGCTGGCCGAGGTTCAACCGGATATTGACATTGTACTAGTATATTATTGCAGCTGGCGGAGGTTCAAGCTGATATTGACATTGTGCTATTAAATTATTGCAGCTGGAGGAGGAGGTTCAACCTGATATTGACATTGTGCTAGTATATTATTGCAGCTTGCCGAGGTTCAACCGGATATTGACATTGTGCTAGTATATTATTGCAGCTGGAGGAGGTTCAACCTGATATTGACATTGTGCTAGTATATTATTGCAGCTGGCGGAGGTTCAAGCTGATATTGACATTGTGCTAGTATACTATTGCAGCTGGCGGAGGTTCAAGCTGATTCTGACATTGTGCTAGTGTATTATTGCAGCTGGAGGAGGTTCAAGCTGATATTAACATTGTGCTAGTATATTATTGCAGCTGTTGGAGGTTCAAGCTGATATTGACATTGTGCTAATATATTATTGCAGCTGGCGGAGGTTCAACCTGATATTGATATTGTGCTAGTATATTATTGCAGCTTGCCGAGGTTCAACCTGATATTGATATTGTGCTAGTATATTATTGCAGCTTGCCGAGGTTCAACCGGATATTGACATTGTGCTAGTATATTATTACAGCTGTTGGAGGTTCAACCTGATATTGACATTGTGCTAGTATATTATTGCAGCTGGCGGAGGTTCAACCTGATATTGACTTTGTGCTAGTATATTATTGCAGCTGGCGGAAATTCAACCTGATATTGACATTGTGCTAGTATATTATTGCAGCTGGCGGAGGTTCAAGCTGATATTGACATTGTGCTAGTATATTATTGCAGCTGTTGGAGGTTCAACATGATATTGACATTGTGCTAGTATATTATTGCAGCTGGTGGAGGTTCAAGCTGATATTGACATTGCACAAGTATATTTTTGCAGCTGGTGGAGGTTCAACCTGATATTGACATTGTGCTAGTATATTATTACAGCTGTTGGAGGTTCAAGCTGATATTGACATTGTGCTAGTATATTATTGCAGCTGGCGGAGGTTCAACCTGATATTGACTTTGTGCTAGTATATTATTGCAGCTGTTGGAGGTTCAACATGATATTGACATTGTGCTAGTATATTATTGCAGCTGGTGGAGGTTCAAGCTGATATTGACATTGCACAAGTATATTTTTGCAGCTGGCGGAGGTTCAACCTGATATTGACAATGTGCGAGTATATTATTGGAGTTGGCGGAGGTTCAACCTGATATTGACATTGTGCTAGTATATTATTGCAGCTGGCCGAGGTTCAACCTGATATTGACATTGTGCTAGTATATCATTGCAGCTGGCCGAGGTTCAACCTGATATTGACGTGCTAGTATATTATTGCAGCTGGCGGAGGTTCAAGCTGATATTGAAATTGTCTTAGCATATTTACATTTACATAGTTTCTTGAGGACTGAATGCCAAAGTCTTGAAAATGACTTCACTTGTTCATATAATACGACCATCGTAACCAACATTACAAAATGACACAACTTTTCCCATGTTTATTTCTCTGAATAAACTACAGTTTCTCGTTCTTTTTGCGTTTAGACTTTTCGTTTACTTATTTCTTGAGGGTTTTGTTTTCCAGATAGTTAAACTGAGGTTTGGGAAACTTTCTTTGTTATGATTAAAGGTGACACATTGACGCTAAGAAATATAGGGAGTGTTACGATATCTTTTTCAAAGTGTAGTAATACAATGTTATACAATACATTTGGAATATATCTACACAATGAATATCACTACCATGTGACACTATAAATTGCCAATGACTGTCTAAATGCAATACGGCTTTATATAGGCACTGTTCCTGGTCACGGTTAATCAGAACTGTACGTGCATCTTGGGAAATACTTGTACACACTTGATCGATGGAATGGCGAGATTATAACTATCCATTACCAGTAGACAGATATTTGAGATCCCATATAGTAATAACATCTATGCTTTCGTTTTGGTGAATACATATATTCCCGTGTGCATTTGTTTGTTACCTGAGACACAGGAGAGTAATACTCTCACGCATCCGTTCCACACTGTATCCATATTGAAAATGGGTCTCTGCTGATTTGGAGCAAATGGCAAGCCAGGGAGCCGTTCCTGGAATTTGCAGCAGAGTTATTGATTGATTATTCGTCCCTGACAACATGTTCTTCCTTGGATATACTGTATAAAACGAGTGTCACGGTGTCATAGAGGTGAGTATGATCTTATCACATCAGTTGTGAAATATGTGGAGGTTCGAGTGTACCCGTAATTCAGTTTATCTATGTTTATACAGGAGGCATTAACGTTTAAACGCAATAGATCTGTTCGGGCAGTGTGAGAAGTGGTTCTCATGGTGCGAAACAACTCTTTTATCGATCTGTGCAAACCTTCGTTCGGAAAAGGACTCAGGTGAAAAGAAGAAGTCCTAACATGGGATGCGAAATCATGCAACATGGCCTAATATCATATACTCATGCCAATGATGGTTGTCACCCCCTTCAATTTTCTTAATTGGTGAGGGGGTTTGGGAGGGGAGGGGTGGGGTGGGGGGATGAGTATATAATTCATTAGCTACCTGAAACTAGACACCCGTCACCACTTCACTTCAAAGTGGATACATATTATATATGTCTTGGTAATGACGGAACATAGTGAATACAAAACATGAAACTGTGACCACATTACAGTTGGGGATCTGTTTCACTGTATCAGTACGGTGACATTTTAGTAAATGGATCAAGAGGTGAAATACTGAAGGTGATCTGTTATTGGGACAGTACAGTTATGGTTACCGTCGCCTCATTCCGTTTTGTATATGCGCAGTAGAAACTCTGCACTTCTACAAAGCAGCCATGATGTACATGGGGAGAACGGAACACTTTGTTTGGAAAATGGTCCAAAAGGCGAAATGGTGAAAGTGCTTAGTTAATGGGGCTGCATAAACGTCCCCTTCATGTCTGTTTTTACATGCAGTAGAAGCTATGTAATTACACACAGCAGAACATGTTCAGACGTGATGATTATATCGGTTGCAGCCAAGGGACAAAAAACACGGTATCAGTGTGGCCCCGAGTGCAGGTATCGACCCTGCTGGCTGTATGAGAGACGACATGCGTAGGCAATCGATTCATCATGCATGGATTGAAAATGCGTCTGATTTCACGGTGCTTCACTGCGCACGTATACAACACTGCCGCACTACTTCAGCTTGGCCACCAACATGACTAATATCAACACAACAGACGTGATGGAAATGCTGATGAAACATTTATTAAAACTCGAAAAATACAATTATACCATTTCTCCTCCACAATTAGTAGGGGACCTCACTATCATAATTATTACCTTCTATTATAAAAATATTCAAACTCAATTACAATACACAGCCCCAAACATAAACAAACAATATCTAACATATAAATCAGAAAACCTTGTAAACATACATCCCTATCTATCCCTATTTGTGCGGCAAAACGTTCGTAAACATTTACCTACCTGGTAAATGGTATATATGTTTCCGTTTAGAATGGGAAATTCGCAAGATAACGGTCAGGCGAAACACAAAATTTGCCACTCATACTCCATCATGTCACTTCCAATTTCAACCTTTAGCAATATGTAAACACTGGCTCGCGTTCGGGTTCAAATAAAATTTAGAGACTATCAATTCGGTCTAACATTCATTTAATTTCCAAACACAGTACGTTTATCTCCTTAGTGATCTAAAGTTTAAAATTTCATTAAATGTATTACACAATTTGTGAAGAAACATTTTTATGCTCATATATATGTTTCCTCCACCCGCTGTCCTCACTGGCTGAGTTTGGAGAAGAGAAACACATAGAGGAATGGCCTAATTCTCAGTCACAGTGCACAAGATGAGATGCATGCTTGAGCGCCAATGATAGGGTCATGAATGAACATCTGTAAGTGTTGGGAGACATCCAATCACCTGCTGTTAGTTCTCACACAGTTAGTTAGCACACACAGTACACACGAACATCACACGCACGCACGCACGCACGCACGCACACACCTACCAGGAGAATACACTTTAGCATAATTAACCTATGATAAAATCACCGCAGACATAATTCTGATGTTCATATTTTACAGGTCCAGTACCCATGGAGGAACTGAGATATGGACCCTTGACAATCGTCTTAATGTTGACGACAATCGCAACAGTCTACAGTAAGCACCACTCGTTTGCATTCAAAGAAAACAGACAATCTAGCTGCGATAATATGTGGTTACTTCCACATATGTTAATTGTATCATTTGCGCGAAGGACAAAAAAATGCTTTGATTAAGTTTCATGATTTATGTTATCGACTTGAAGAATAAACTTCCTTCATTGTCAGAAAAAATGGTCTAAAAATGGGTTGATGTTATGTGTCAAATAAAATGAAATAGTATTGTATTTCAGGTCTATCTCTTTGTCCTGAACTGACTGTAGCTTGTTTGCCCGCCATTAACAATATCAGTGATCATGTTATCTCCAGTACAAATTTTACCCTTGGAGACCCGGGCTGGAATAGGTCTTCAGTAGGGCTGCGCAATATAACCGGTTTACCGGTATTTACCTGTTCAGACATGAAACGATACGTATTGCGATACGCTGATCGAAAACCGGTATTTTGACATGCATTCAGAAAACTTCGCAACACTCAGAAATCTTCGGATATTTGCGTTTTTTTTAAATTGTTCCTTTCCTTGTTTCATTTGTGCCAAACATTATTTACATTTTTATTTTGTCATGATTAAAAAGTTTTTATTAACGCCTAATCAAGCTTTGTGATTTTGTTGTGTTTTTACTTTATAAATCAAACATTAACTCGATTATACGTATTTTTTGTTAAGAAAACTTCTTTCAATATATTGCAATACATATCGCAATACATGCTTTTGCATCGCAATTTATCTCAATATGAAATTCCTTGCAATACCCACCCCTAGTCTTCAGTAACCCATGCTTGTCGTAAGAGGCAACTAACGGGATCGGGTGGTCAGGCTCACTGACTAGGTTGACACATGTCATCATATTCCAATTGCGTACTTTTCCATCACAGGGGATAGATATTTCAGTGTTAAAACGGTAATACCCCCATTTCACTGGACCGCGGCATAATTGCGGAAGCAAAAATGGTCCCATCCGCAAATTGTCCGAAAATATTCCCCCATCTTCCGCGGTTTTCCTCCAAGGAAGGCAGTTATTACGCAAGTGTTCCTCATCTTCCGTCATGTTCTGGCAGGCCAAAATGTTTCGCAAACGTGCTTTTGAACATGTTCAATAGCACGTTCACGGAAAAAAATTCCGTCAGTGTTCCGCGGGGTCAAAGGTTAATCTGTAGGTATTCTGCCTTTCCGCAAGTTGTTTGTATTCATTACTTATATGAACGCACATACCGCAAGTCTTCCGCGTGTATTTCGCTAACCTTCCTTCACTTTCCGTGTGATGTAATTCGGCCACGGATTAATTGCGTTCACGCACGGATGAAAACGGAATACTCTCGCTCACACACGAATAGCACGGAATACACATGGAACACCGCGGAAGAATTACGGACGTAACGAGGAACATGGAGGAATGTTCACAGAACGATTACGGAATGGTCGCGGAACACAATGAACGTTTGCGGAAGACTATAGGGAAGTACTGAACACTTGCGGAATAATTGCTCCTGGTATAAATACTGGCGAGGTTGACTGTCTGCCATTCATTTGCAAGACATCTCTGCTGCAAGTCACTATGCCAAGAGCCAAGAAGAAGGGTACCAAGAGAGGGAGGTCTCCCCCACCAGAACCCTCCCAAGCTCCAGAACCTGCTCCTGATGCACATGGCATTGATGCAGAATCAGATGTTGCTGGTGTTGTTGAAACTGATGCCGCCACTGCCCCTAGCAAGAAGCCCAGAGTTTACATTAATCTCAACATTAACTCAGGGCAGCCTTTGAAAACACAAGTCTGGTGGATCCGATTCATGTATAGAGCTGATAGAGCAGTTGTTATAACTGTTTCATTACATTTTCAATGGTGATTCTAAGCTTTTGTCTGGTTGTATAAATCAAATTATCTCTTAGCCCTTAAATGTGTTCACACCCTTTTGTCCGGGACTGAATTGTGATGATGTCTGTAGCATACACTTTTCCAACTACATCCAAACCGTATTGTCATCAATACTGTCGAACAAAAGAAAGTGAACAACATTACACATTACATACAAAATTAAACTCTCTTTTATTGCTTTCACATTCTTTTGTCCGGCACTGAATGGTGATGATGTCCAGCTATCAACACATAAGTCACAAGCTTCAAAACCCGACATAACGTGTAAGAAAAACATGACAAAGGAACCATTTTAACAACATTTTAATGCAAGAATGAGTAAAGGAGAAAACACGAATTCATATCGCAATAATTTACAATGACATAGCATACATAAAGTGTCCACTGAGTGAGGTGATACTGCTTCAAGAGTCTAGAGTGCATATTACGTATGAAGGGAATAGCGTCAATCCATCTCGGCACAATAACACTTGAACCTCTGATGACATATGGTTGCTAAGCAACTTGTCTCACTTCACTGTTGAAGTAGAGTTTCAGATACTCTCGCTGTTTCTTGGCCTCTACAGTGCCTCTGTTGGAACCCATCACATTGGCCAAATCATGCATATTGGCCGTCTGACGCCACTTCAACAGCAGCTTCAACCATACTTCTCACGACGTCTGGTCCTGGTTGCAATGTAGATAGAAGGAATTGCCAGCTATTGGCCAAGATGCCAAAGGCATTCTCAACGACTCTGGATATCCTGTAGTTGAACACCAATTCTTCCTCTGTAAGGCCTCTTCTGGAGTATGGCTTCATGAGGTACTTTCTGAGGGCAAAAGCATCGTCCCCCAGGAGGTAGTATGGCGTGTCAGCGTCGTCGTATGATGGTTTCGTCTTCGATGAATTCTTTAAGCTCTGAGCTATTGAATATCTGGGCATCAGACATGTGGCCCATCCCACCGACATCTATCAACAGGAACCTGTAGTTGGCGTCTACCAATGCTAGCAGAACGATGGAGAAGAAGCCCTTGTAGTTATGGTACAGGCTTCCACTTGATGGTGGTTTTCGAATGGCGACTTGCTTCCCATCCAGGACTTCCATGGCATGAGGTAGGTTCCGTTTATCCTGCAACTCCCAGCTGAGTGATCTCCATTCCTCCTCAGTATGTGGAGACTGTATTACTTCGTCTTTGTATTGGTCAATGGTAGCCTGACAGACCTCGGGTAGGAAGCTTGTGGTGGTGTTGCAAGATACCCTGAAATTGTAGGCCAGAGTTGGATACGTGTCGCCAGAAGCCAGGTGACGCAAGGTGACAGCTAGTTTTAGACCAGCGCTGAGTGCACTTCTGAAGTTGGTGTCCTTCTTTGTCAGTCGGGGAGCCAAGAGGTGGGACCCGGAGATAATTGAAGAAGGATTGCTTGTCTTCGAAACGGAGCGTTTCCATAACATTGTCATAGTTCCCAAAATCAGTCCTTCCGCAGTCATTCCGGCTACAACGCAAATATTCCGATGTTATTCCGCGTGTTTCCGCAATTCTTCCAAAGTTCTTCCTTCTCAAACGGTTTAGTGCCGTAGCTATTCCCCCATATGTTTCCGTATGTGTTCCTCTAACACTCTGAAAGTCTTCAGTAGCATTCGGCACACATTCCTACTTGTTCCGCATTTCTTTCGTGTGGTATTCCGCAATTAATCCTAGTTTTGCCGCAGTTGTTCCGTATATTCCGTAAACGTTTGGAATGTATTCCGAAGGAGTATCAAATTACAATTTTCCGCAGGATTTTAACCAATTTTCAGTGCAAAAATGCCGAAGACTATATGTAGACTCCATTCCGCGCACACCCGCGACGATCCTTCCATGCCGCCGTCCAGTGAAATTGGGATATAAAAGATGATTTTAACAGAGTTGGTTATAATTTTATTATTGAGGGTTTTCTTTTTTTAAAACTGACTGAACTGAAATTTAGATTGATATACTTTGTAGATAGCAAATGTACTGTAAGTTCTCATGGTCCCTAGTATGTTGATCAACCTTCAGTTGCTGGTGATCTATAGCCCGTTTTTATATTGTACTCTTGTCTCTAGTGATCTTTTTTTAATGAATGCGTACTCGGTTTAAATTAAGAGCTGTGATAATCTAGTATTTTTTCTGTCCTTTGATGACATTTTTTACATTCTGAATTTAGTGATGTTAACATTGATATAATAATTAAAGTGTTATCTTCACGATATGGCTGCAATATTGCCAATGTAACACTCAATCTTAACTCACTCACTCAACCCAATTGCATAGATCGATGCTCATGCTGTTAATCACTGGATATAAGACTCGATTATTTACAGACCACCGCCATATAGCTGGAGTATTGCTGAGAGCGGCGAAAAACTAAACTCACTCACTCATATACAGGGAAACGTGAACATATGGCTCGCGGTTTTATTTGTCTTTACAACACGCTGGCTTTTACCTTTTACCTGTTTTCCAACCTCTCCGTACATTTACTGTCACCATTTACTGTCTCAGGTACAACTGAACTTATCTGTCCACAAATCAGCGAGCTGGGTTCCGTTGTGACCTTGACTTGCATTGGAGCTGGTGCGGCCCACGCACACGCCTACTCAACACCTGGCGGAAATACTGCTGCGTCCTGCGATCTGAGAGACGGACAGTGTATAGACTTTGGAAACTTTAAGTCAGCTGTCCTCAATGCCAGTCACAGTGTTCTGACAATACCCCGTGCACTTAAGACACATGCAGGTGTGTGGAAGTGTGTCAACGATGCAGACTCTACAACGCCACCAACGTGTAACGTCGTCATTGAAGGTAGGTATAAGTTACCCTAGGAAACCCGTAAAATAGTACACGTGTTGTTAACAAATAATTATACCTCACCCCACAGACGGTTGTCAGTCATTGCACTGTTTTACGAGTCTGTGCGGGTCGCGGTGGGCGAGCTTGCTAAGGCGCCAGGCTAGTGATCCAGCAATCTTAATGTGTCGGAATCGAGCCCACTTGTGACCGGTTGTAAAAACCTTGGAGTCAACTTTGTGTGCAGACTCTTTTGGTGTTGACTCAACCCCTAGTGTAAAGTACACAACGTTGTGCACTTAAAAGAACCCACGAATCCGATGGTAAATGACCAGATGATGCCCACATGAATACGTGCAGACACCTAGTTGCAGGTACAGCAACGTGCAGTAAACTTAGACAAAGTACTCAACTGTGACCATGTGTCCCAGTCAGCCCAGCTGTGAATGGGTACCTCGTAAGGATGAAGAAGCCGAGTTGTATGCTCCCCGGGGAGTTGAGATTGATAATACGATGTGCCGTTGAGACTGATGTCCAATGATCGAGGGGGAACATACCAGCGCCTTGAGCATGCACAATTTGCGTGGATATGTACGCTTTATATATATCCTATCATCAATATCCTATATTGATGATAATAATAATATAAATACAGTCAAACACTCTTGTGTCGACGTTCGTAAATTGATCGTGTTATCCAAGGTTCGATACAACCCTCTCGTGTAACAACACTATCAACACTGCATCCTAAGGCAGGATATGATGAGCTTATGAACAGTCCATGTTCATGAACCTTTAGAGACTTGTGGCAGGAGCGTACAAGTCGAGTATACATGTGTCGAGCAACGGGCTCCTTCTTCCTTCCCCACATAAGTGGTTCACAATTATCTTTAGCTTCACTTCTGTCCTCACACATGATAGATTTCAGGAATGACATAGACGGTTGTGAATTATTTTCAGCATATGAAAATGCTTGTTTGAAGTTGGAAGCAGTTAACCTTCCAGCTCTTTGTTCAAACCATGTATCGTTAATAGACTGCCCAACAGTGCGCATAGCAATATCCTTGCATTCCTGTTCAGAGTAAGTGAGTTTACTTTAAAAGTCATCACAGATAGTTTCAAGTTCATCCAAGGACTCACAGTTAACTAATTTATCCTTGTGATCTGATGCATAACACTGTGCTTTTGATGGAATTGATAAATCTGTGATGGACTTCTGATCACTGGTCTTCATAGATATGAGATCTTCTGGACAGAGAAGTATATCTAGAGCCTGAACATCTGGGGATAACTGAACCAGAGGAAATCAATCAAACCATAAGTCATTGTGTACATCAGACTACATTACTAGTCAGTGTACTAGTCAGTGTATAAAATGAACTAGAAACGTAGCCAACCCGAACTTTTACTAAGTAACAGGGTGTCTATTTCCCACACTGCTGTAATGTAAGTGACACCTAAATGTAACTGTGATCAATAAATCTGTCTATTATTTTGTGACATCTCATGTTATGTATTATTTCTTAATAAGATTAAACAAAGAATACATTAACTCTGAATTATGAACACACCTTCCTCAGTTGTAGACCAAAGTCTCGCTTCCTTTCTTGTGTATATGACATACGGTCTTCAGGGGCCCGGGGATCATATGAGTCGACATCTGGTCACACATTGTTGACGACAGGAGTTGTGCCATATCTTGCCTTGAGGACAGTCAGGTTCTTGACAGGGACGGCTGCATCATGTAAACGAGGTCGCTTCATCCACTGATTGGCTCCATTGGTGCAAGATGTTGGCTCAACATTCTCTATAGCATATAATGCTGCTCCAATGTGACGGCATGCTCCATCTGATCTATAAAATACATCATGATTTGTTTGCTAAAAAATAAAATATATTTAAACATACAAGTCATATTTATTCAAATTTTATCCTATCATACCTGATAATAATTATTTTATTTCAACCATTTTTTATAGTTTGTCTCAAAAGCTTCCAGACAATATTGTTTTTGGCCTATATCAAGATATAGGCCTAAATCCATTCTCATCATTACTGAATGTAATATTCAAATACTTACCCCCCAATACATTGACAGTAGGCCATTTTCACTTCTCCCTCGATCTTGTCCATGACAACAAAAAGCTGGTAACAGCTTTGATTAAGGTACGTCCTGTCCCTCTGGGTAGGTTTGACCTTAGCCCTGAAGAGGCAAACCTGGCTATCATCTGTAAGGTTGTTTATTTCCAGCAGTTCTACATGGCAATTATAGAACAGCCTGAAAGTAAAATGTAAATTGATTAATAACACAATCACATGACCCAAAAAAATTCTATGAAAAAAAATCATTATTATAATGGATGATACATTAACAATTAGTTACATATTTAAGTAAATACAATGTCGTTTACAAAAGGCAAAAATAGTCATGACAGGAGAAATATATTGATAGTGATCTATAATTCGTACCTGTAATCCTCAAATGACTTATAGCTCTTCAATTTTTTTCTATCGTAGTCAGATCTCGAGCAGAGAAGATAATTGAAAATATCAATCGGTCCAAAAGATGGCATGTGGGAAAAATCTTGATTGTAACCCTCTGCTGTGAATGGGTCTGTCACTGTGGATGGAACACCATGTTTACGAGGCTTGTCGGTTACATCGTCGTGCGCGTGCATCAAGTCGGGATCTTCAGTTAAATTTAAGCATTTTGCAGCATTGGTCAACCGTTATAACCCTTCTCTATTGTAACCAGTGACTGAAATTCCCCTTTCGTGTATTTCTGTATTTGTGCAACTGTCATACAAGCAAACGACTCATCCATGTTTGTTTACCTGGGATGTCCGGTCAAAAGGGAGGTAACTCCAGATTGATCATTTTTGCAGAAGGTCTATTCTGCTATTCATATTTTACAGGTCCAGGACCCATGGAGGAACTAAGATATGGACCCTTGACAACCGTCTCAATGTTGAAGACAATCGCAACAGTCTACAGTAGGCACCAAACAGACAATCTAGCTACGATAATATGTGGTTACTTCCACATAATTATTATTATGTTAATTATATCATTTTGCGCGAAGGACAAAAATGCTTTGATTAAGTTTCATGATTTATGTTATCGACTTGAAGAATAAACTTCCTTTGTTTTAGAAACAATGGTCTAAGAAAGGGTTTAATGTTATATGTGTCAAATATAATGAAATAGTATTGTATTTCAGGTCTATCTCTTTGTCCTTTGTTTGCCCGCCATTAACAATATCAGTGATCATGTTGCCTCCAGTACAAGTTTTACCCTTGGAGACCCGGGCTAGAATTGGTCTTCAGTAACCAATGCTTGTCGTAAAAGATGACTAACGGGATCGGGTGGTCAGGCAATGTATCTTAGCTAGTCCAGACTCGATTATTTACAGACCACCGCCATAGCTGGAGTATTGCTGAGAGAGGCGAAAAAACTAAACTCACTCACTCATATACAGGGAAACGTGAACATATGGCTCGCGGTTTTATTTGTCTTTACAACACGCTGGCTTTTACCTTTTACCTGTTTTCCAACCTCTCCGTACATTTACTGTCACCATTTACTGTCTCAGGTACAACTGAACTTATCTGTCCACAAATCAGCGAGCTGGGTTCCGTTGTGACCTTGACTTGCATTGGAGCTGGTGCGGCCCACGCACACGCCTACTCAACACCTGGCGGAAATACTGCTGCGTCCTGCGATCTGAGAGACGGACAGTGTATAGACTTTGGAAACTTTAAGTCAGCTGTCCTCAATGCCAGTCACAGTGTTCTGACAATACCCCGTGCACTTAAGACACATGCAGGTGTGTGGAAGTGTGTCAACGGTACAGACTCTACAACGCCACCAACGTGTAACGTCGTCATTGCAAGTAGGTATAAGTTACCCTAGGAAACCCGTAAAATAGTACACGTGTTGTTAACAAATAATTATACCTCACCCCACAGACGGTTTTCAGTCATTGCACTGTTTTACGAGTCTGTGCGGGTCGCGGTGGGCGAGCTTGCTAAGGCGCCAGGCTTGTGATCCAGCAATCTTAATGTGTCGGGATTGAGCCCACTTGTGACCGGTTGTAAAAACCTTGGAGTCAACTTTGTGTGCAGACTCTTTCGGTGTTGACCCAACCCCTAGTGTAAAGTACACAACGTTGTGCACTTACAAGAACCCACGAATCTGATGGTAAATGACCAGATGATGCCCACATGAATACGTGCAGACACCTAGTTGCAGGTACAGCAACGTGCAGTAAACTCAACTGTGACTATGTGAATGGGTACCTCGTAAGGATGAAGAAGCCTAAATGGCTGCAAGAGTTGTATGATCCCGGGGAGTTGAGATTGATAATACGATGTGCCGTTGAGACTGATATCCAATGATCGAGGGGGAACATACCAGCGCCTTGAGCATGCACTAATTACGTGGATATGTACGCTTTATATATATCCTATAATAAATATCCTATACTGATGATAATAATAATATAGATACAGTCAAACACTCTTGTGTCGACGTTCGTAAATTGATCGTGTTATCCAAGGTTCGATACAACCCTCTCATTTCAGAGGGACCATCATGCACCATGACTGGCGATAGGAATACAAGTGCACTTAGAGTTGATGACGTCATCACGCTGACGGTGAACATCAACGACTACTTCTCGACCGAACTTGCAAGGATTGCCCTGGTTGTTGGAAATATTCATATAATCTCCATCAGTAAGTTCGTTACCGAAATGACGAACGAGACACTCGTGACAACGTTGCAGCTACGCGAGGATCATTTCGGAAACGTGACTATAACCTTCGACAGCGTTGATAAGAACCAGAGTCAAACATGCGGCCGTCTTGACCAACTGATTTCGGGTGAGTTATATTGTTGCTATGGATTCTTGACATAAATTACTTGTCTTGTAGGGCGGTGTGGTAGCCTATCGGTTAAAACGTTCGCTCGTCATGCCGAAGACCCGGGTTCGATTCCCCACATAGGTACAATGTGTACATGTGGAGCCCATCCCTGGTGTCCCCCGCCATGATATTCCTGGAATATTGCTAAAAGCGGCGTAAAACCATTCTCACAACATGTCTAGTAACTGTTTTCATGCATCCCTCCAGTATTATCGCTACTGTTACAGCCTGTACGCCTATTTAAATTTATTTCATCATATCATTGACAGTGATTATTATAAGGGTAATGCTATTTTTGAGGGCATTATCATTTGCAGAAGCCCGAAGTCTTCCATTAACTGCCCGACGAAGGAAAAAGACCGAGATGATAATGCCCTCAAAATGACCTCAAAAATAGCATTACCGTTATTATAGCTAACATACATGGAATTTGTGTTGAAAAGAAATAGGAAACAATGAAGGAATTTGACTGTAAGTTTACCCAAATCAACTTCTAACGGGGTGACTGCCCGAATGCAATTACGTCATCGAACAATTCAAGTGACGTCACAACAGAAAGTGACCATATTCGACCTTGACATTTGACAAGACCATAGCCTGCAACATGTAAACTATGTCAGTGTTCGGTTTTGGTCCATCAACAGCCTTAATATTGCATTTGTTAAGGTTAGCACCGACAAGAAAGCCAATATTACCTCTATTTAAAGCGGGAATTCGAGTTGCTTTGACTTGTTTGACCAGGAATATCTGCCAGTCTAAAGCCAATTAATGTCGAATGAACCGTGAGTCCAGGCACCCACTATGACGTCAGTTGACAACAGAAATGATAGTGGCCCGTGGTTAAGGCTGAGCAGTCCAATATCATTTGCAGCGGCCCGCAAATGTCTGAAAATGGGAGGGCCGTTTCATGATAATTCCATGTATTTTAGCTATAATCTCCTGTGTCGACCTTCAATAGTAATTACTACAGTCCGTTTGAGTCAGAAACGGACCGATGAATTGCAAATTTTATCATTGTACAAAATTGCCACATAAATATAAATAGTACACATGTTTATCAGTTACTAATACCCAACATCTTTCTTATATTTGAAAATTTTCCTGACTCCACCAAAAAAGTTCTTTAAGAAACTATCATTAAAATTTTGACACAGTTCACTATTTGTTACGAGGGAGGAGTGCAGAGAAAGGGACAGCCATGTGTGCGAGAAAGGATGGAGACGGCACAGCACAGGCGAATGAATCAATAACTTGGTGGGCACTTGTGCACGTGCTGCTCTAACACCTGCCTAGTGGTTAAAGCGTTGGCTCGTCACGCCGAAGACCCGGGTTCGAATCCCCACATGGGTACAATGTGTGAAGCCTATTTCTGGTGTCCCCCGCCGTGATGTTGCTGGAATATTGCTAAAAACGGCGTAAAACCAAACTCAGCCACTCCTTTTAGCTTGGGGAAACTGGTAAAAAATTGGTGCTTTTAGGTAAAGTCATTTTTAGAAACAACGCTCAAGCGTTTCGTATTCACAAGAAAACATTTTGAACTCCGGGCACTTTGACTTTGTTAATTAGTGTCATATTAAGCATGTAGTGAACCTCCTTCTTCATGGCTTCGCGCTTGATTGGATTCATCTGTCATAGATATTGTTTCATGGGGACAGTGTCATATCAAGCAAGTAGTGAACCTCCTTCTTCAAGGCTTCGTGCTTGATTGGATTCATCTGTCATAGATATTGTTTCACGGGGACAGTGTCATATCAAGCATGTAATGAACCTCCTTCTTCAAGGCTTCGTGCTTGATTGGATTCATCTGTTATGGATATTATTTCACGGGGACAGTGTCATATCAAGCATGTAGTGAACCTCCTTCTTCAAGGCTTTGTGCTTGATTGGATTCATCTGTCCTAGATATTGTTTCACGGGGACAGTGTCATATCAAGCAAGTAGTGAACCTCCTTCTTCAAGGCTTCGTGCTTGATTGGATTCATCTGTCATGGATATTGTTTCACGGGGACAGTGTCATATCAAGCATGTAGTGAACCTCCTTCTTCAAGGCTTCGCGCTTGATTGGATTCATCTGTCCTGGATATTGTTTCACGGGGACAGTGTCATATCAAGCATGTAGTGAACCTCCTTCTTCAAGGCTTTGTGCTTGATTGGATTCATCTGTCATGGATATTGCTTCACGGGGACAGTGTCATATCAAGCATGTAATGAACCTCCTTCTTAAAGGCTTCGCGCTTGATTGGATTCATCTGTCCTGGATATTGTTTCACGGGGACAGTGTCATATCAAGCATGTAGTGAACCTCCTTCTTCAAAGCTTCGTGCTTGATTGGATTCATCTGTCCTGGATATTGTTTCACGGGGACAGTGTCATATCAAGCATGTAGTGAACCTCCTTCTTCAAGGCTTTGTGCTTGATTGGATTTTGATTCATCTGTCATGGATATTATTTCACGGGGACAGTGTCATATCAAGCATGTAATGAACCTCCTTCTTCAAGGCTTCGCGCTTGATTGGATTCATCTGTCATGGATATTGTTTCTCGGGGACAGTGTCATATCAAGCATGTAGTGAACCTCCTTCTTCAAGGCTTCGCGCTTGATTGGATTCATCTGTCATGGATATTATTTCACGGGGACAGTGTCATATCAAGCATGTAGTGACAGCGTCATCTACATCTTTATCATCACATACTAAATATGTGAGGTGAAATTGGGTTTTACGTCGTGCTTGAGAATATTTCGCTCATATGACGACGTGTATGCATGTGTATGTGTATGTGCGTACTAGCCCAGACTTAAGCTGGTTTTATAGTGCTAGCCCACTGGGATACCATGCCGCATGAATACCCCACTCAGACACATTATACTGACTCTGAGCCGACCAGTCTTTGTTGGGCCGAGCGCCAGGCAGGGACCAACAAGTACCATATTTTAACGTCTTTTGGATATAATGCGGTTGGGGATCGAACCCGCGACCTTCCGCTCTCCTGGTTGACGCTCTAACCACTACACCACGGAGGCGGTTTGCTAAATATGTACACAAATGAAACAAATGAGCAAGCTCTTGAATTAAGTCGTTTGACAAACATAAGTTAGTTGAAATTTCAGAAATACGTAGCTTAGGGCTAGCCTAGTCAGCAATGTCATCAAACTTTAGAAAGAACAATCACATACATCAAAATCAGATACATTATCTTAGGAACGGCAGTTGGAAAATATTGATTCTTTCAGTTGCATTATATGCCCACGAAAAGTATGACCAAAAAGTGAGTGAGTGAGTTCAGTTTTACGCCGCTTTTAGCAATATTCCACCTATATCACGGCGGGGCACAACAGAAATGGGCTTCACATATTGTACCCATGTGGGGAATCGAACCCGGGTCTTCGGCGTGACGGACGAACGCTTTAACCACTAGGCTACCCCAACTAAAAGGAATCCAAAAGGAAAAGATCTGGGTTTTTTTATCTCATGGTGGCCACAACAGATACTGAAGACAGCGCCCAACAGGGAACATACGCCTTCCCTTATTGATCTACCCCACCGCCCCTATGGCCAAAAAGGCTATAAGGACTGAAACATCACTCACTGAGTGAGTGAGTGATTTCAGTTTTACGCCGCACTCAGCAATATTCCATCTACATGGCGGCAGTAGTAGTAGTGAGTGAGTTTTACTCCGCAACATTCCAGCTATATGTCGGCCGTCGGTAAATAATCGTGTCTGGACCAGACAATCCAGTGATCAACAGTATGAGCATCGATCTGCGCATTTCGGAACCGATGACATGTGTCAACCAAGTCAGCGAGCCTGACCACCCGATCCCGTTAGTGGCCTCTTACGACAAGCATGGGTTATTGAAGTTCAATATTCTAACCCGGTCCTCCATGGGTATTTTTCCAACCAAGTGTAAACGTGGAGAAAAAACCTAGAGTAAATGAATAGGGTAGTGAGCACCTTGGTTTCAGGTGCAAGTGCGTGTGAACGCTGGGTATCAGGCATATTTATAGTGCGCCTATTCCACATCCTGGGGCATGCTCAAAGCGCTATGTACAGATCATTTGTCAACCAAGTCAGCGAGCCTGACCACCCAATACCATTAGTCGCCTCTTACGACAAACATGGTTTACTGAAGGTTCATTCTAACCCGGACCTTCACGGGTTCTCACTCACAGCGAATAAAAACAGATTACATATGGATGCCTTTGTCTGAGTCCTCCTCAGTTTCAAAACAATAAGTGCTGATCATATTCATAGTCAGAAGGTATCTTTCTAAAGCTCCACGAGATCCAGGATGATAACCACTTGACGTAACCTGAGTTGTATCTAGCTGATGCATAGACTGTCAGCCATGAAATTGGAGCTGTGATCTGAATAGTCCTAACCAAACACAGTGAAGAACTTCACCAAAGCCTTGATAAGGACCCGAGTCACCTGGAAAGCTCATCCATGGTCGTCCGTACATTAAAACACATTGGATCTGGTTCTCTGGATGGTGACGTGGTGCGATGGGATGTGGATGGGTTGATGTCGACATGGTGTGTTGAGATAAGGATGTGTTGATGGTGAGGTGTTGTGATGGGATATGGATGTGTTGATGATGAGATAAGGATGTGTTGATGGTGAGGTGTTGTGATGGGATATGGATGTGTTGATATTGACGTGGTGTGATGGCGTGTTGATGTCAACGTGTTGTGATGGGATATGGATATCATGATGTCAATGTGGTGTGATGGGATAAGAATGGATTCATGACGACGTGGTGTGAATGGATTGTTATGTGACATGAACCGACGTGATATGGCAATGACATGTAATTTGACCTGACATGGTGTGATGCGACAGGATGTGGCGGCATAATCTGACGTGATGTGAGAGGCACGATAATCTTTTCAATGATAAGGGACATGTTCACACTGTATGCCTATGGAATCAATTTGACTGACTGACTTACTGAGTTTGGTTTTACGCCGCTTTTAGCAATATTCCAGCAACATAGGCTTCACACATTGTACTCATGTGGGGATTCGAACCCGGGTCTTCGGCGTGACGAGCCAACGCTTTAACCATTAAACTACCCCACCGCCCCGGAATCAGTTAGAGTTCACTGAGCCAAGTTAATACTACGACTACGACGTCAATTAATTGGTGTTCCGTGACGTCATTGAAAGGTATGACATTATCATTGGACTGTCGGCGTGAAACTGTAGAGACAGTGAGTATTTTCGGTAGAGACCTGTAACTGTAAGTATTTTGATACGGAATTTAACGTGCGACCCCAGTTCATATCAATAGAAAAGACATGACAGTCCTTCCCACTTTGCTCTTAGATACTTTGAATTCACACCCGCTGACTTTCTAAATATGTCTCTCCTTGGAACATATATTGAATCTTAAAATGTCCACATATCGCTGAAATATATATACAAAAGAATAAAGATTCTTCGTGGGGCCACTATGATTTACGACATACAACAGCATTTCAATTGTCAGTCTGTTTTATGACGATCTTTGTCAAAGAGATGCCAACAAACAATATACAACAGTTCAACTTTCCTGGTATGTTGTTTCTTGTATTGCCGACATTATGTATATTTCCTAGGTCGTGTTCTACCCCTGCTGTTTCCTGCTTACATTTCAGGGCTGGTGAATACCTTTGATGACGACAGTACAGGTGGTAAAGGTATGTCACTGTCCATCCACTGCAGAAATAGTTGACCTTAAACTGCCTGTTAAAATGTATCATCCATGTTTGATGGTGACTGAACATGAAACATACAAGATAACAGGGGTGGAAATAACTTTAAAATTGCTAGTGTACTCCAGTACAGTGGCACATGTAAAATAACTTGCCCTGATAATTTGTCCACTATACTGGCCGATTTTTTGTTGATTTTTTTAGATAAACAACATAATTAACACTGGAAAGTCAACTGGACACCGGTACAGTGTGATATACAAATTTGCTTGCCCGACAGAAAAAAACCCAAAAAATCCACTGGAATGGGGCGTCGTCCAATGGGTTATTTCCACCCCTGGATAATCAGGCTCGATTATACGTTAAAGCATCCTCCATCGGGTGTACAATATAAAATAATGATGGGAGTTATTTGAGTGGATCTATCACAAGAGGAAAGTAATGCAATGTCGTAATATGACTTGAAGCGCCAGGGTGTAAATACAGATATTCCTTATATACATTTCTCTGTATGAACTGTTTGAAGTGGGACTCGGTTATACGTTAAAGCATCCTCTCCAAGCGTACAATGTAAAATAACGATTGGGTTATTTGAGTGGATCCCTGAAAATCAGTGAGCGAGTGAGTGAGTTGCATTTTACGCCACATTCAGCAATATTCCAGTTAACTGGCGGCGGTCTGTAAATAATCGAGCCTGGACAAGACAATCCTGAGTTCAACAGCATGAGCATCGATCTACGCAACTGGGATACGATGACATGTGTCAATATATAAGTGTACAATGTAAAATAACGATGGGGTTATTTGAGTTGATCACTGAAACTCAGTGATGACCGCAGGTGTTTGCAAATAGGTGAACAGTAATACGCTATTGGGAGCACAGGATCTCCCACACCTGGAATATATCGTAACCAATTCTGTAGACGTCTCTGACAGATGTTTTTTTTTTCCAGAGGAACATTGCCGCTCCACAATTGTCATTGCCGGAACAGTAGGTGTCGTCGTTATCGTCATCAACGTCCTCGCTGTCATCGTATGTCTGCGGAGACATCACTGTCAGAACAGACAACCACCGTATACGCCCCGGGCAGCAGAGCCTCTGACTACGGATACGGGATATGCCACCGTCGATGATGTGGGCTATGCAAGTGGTCAATACCTACGCCCAACTGTTGACTAAGTCATAGATTCATCATTCTAAACAGAACCCACGCTCCTTTCCGTGCCAGCATCGGACTATTGTACTACAGACAAATACTACAACCTGCACATACTGGAAGGAGACACACTTTGTGCTTACTGAGGAGTGAGTGAGTGAGTTAAAATTTATCATCACATCGGCAATATTTCAGCCATATCGTGACGAGATCAATTAATTTTACGCATAGTAGTTAATGGTAAATTGTAAAAACCTGTCAACGAAGGACTAGATTATCACAGATTCGAAATTAAAACTAGTAATTAGATCTAAAACAGTTTAACTATAGATGGCAATACAATATAAAAACAGGCTATATTTTGCCAACAACTGAAGGTAGATCACTATACTAGGGACCATGGGGACTTACAGTACATTTGCTTTCTGCATGGGCCCTAGTTGGATTTACATCATCCCGGCAGCTGTTCGCAATTGAGACAAATCTAGCCATATAGTAAAATTGCATATATTCTACGATTAAAAAAGTAGAGTTTTAATTTACTGGGAATGTTTAGGGACTTACGTACCCTCTCAGGAGGACAATTAGTTTACAGTTTTTACCCCCCCTCGAAGATACAGCCACTAACAATCTGAGTTATTAATTCAAACTATTTACAAAACATTTAACAAATTTAATGCTTTTAAAAATGCAATAATTAAATGAGAACTGATATTATTAAAACGATCCTCCATAGTTCGTGATTTGAAATAGTTATCCCTTGTGATGGAATATTCAACACAGTCAAGCAAGACATGCTTGACCGTGATTCTTTCATCACGAAGGATGCAAAACGGAGGATCTTCACCTTTCAATAGGTATTCATGAGTATATCTTGTGTGGCCAATACGACTCATGATGACTTCTTTAAATCTGAACTGACAACACAAGCAGGTATAACCAATATAGGGTATTATTTCATGTAATTTATTTACACCTACTTGGGTGTCCCACTTTTTCTGCATCAGATCACGGATATAAGTTCTAATGACAGCTTTGTAATCAGAGTATGGGATGAGAAGTGGTGTCACAGATTTGTTGAGTGCTGCCTTAGCAGCAAAATCGGCCATTGTGTTACCAGAAATTCCAACATGGCTGGGTAACCAACAGAGGGCGATGTCCTATTGGCAAGTAGCAAGATCATTATATAATTCAATAATTCAATTAAAAGTGGATGTTTGCAAGAATATATATTTATATATATTTAAGCGCTGTTATTATGGCTTTTGCTTCTGCTGTGAAAATAGAACTATCGCCTGGTAATCGAGTAAAGATTGCTATGGATCCGACACATCTGTAAAAAGGATTTGTATGTATTACATGTACTTTTCAATTGATTATATTCTTGTTTAGATTGTAATCATTAGTTTCTGATTTTTTAAACTTTGTCAGTGTTAGGTCAAATTGTGGCCTCACTACGGAAGCGTAGTAGGGCTACGGTAAAACATTTTTTGGGGGTCACTATTTCGTACGTAGCACTTAGTTTATCCTAAGTGGGTATCTCCTACTTAGTATCTCCTACGTAGGACTTAGTATCTCCTACGTAGGACTTAGTATCACCATCGTAGGACTTAGTACCTCCTACGTATGGCATACTATCTCCTACTTAGGAGTTAGTATCTCCTAAGTGAGTATCTCCTAAGTAGCACTTAGTTTCTCCTACGTAGGACATAGCATCTCCTACGTAGGACTTACTATCTCCTACGCAGGGCATACTATCTCCTACGTAGTACTTAATATATCCTTATATATCGGATTATGAAGTATGGTTATTTAGTTGAGAAATGTTTGGCTATGCAGAGAGAGAGACAGAGAGAGAGAGAGAGAGAGAGAGAGAGAGAGGAGAGAGAGAGAGAGAGAGAGAGGAGAGAGAGAGAGAGAGAGAGGTCCTACGTAGGAGATATTATGTCCTACGTAGGAGATACTAAGTCCTACGTAGGAGATATTATGTCCTACGTAGGAGATACTAAGTCCTACGTAGGAGATATTAAGTACTACGTAGGAGATAGTAAGACCAAACAAAATTTTCACCGTGGTCCTACTACGCTTACGTACCTCACCAAATGCCAAGGAGGTAAAAAAAGAAAAATGGAAGGAGCTATATTTTCTAGCCCAATGCCAGCAGCATTGGGCTAGTCCCAGAGGCAGAACAAGAGAAGACTCTTGCTGTATAGATCCTTATATAGAGAGCTGAAAACACAGCTGAACGCAGGGTTAGACTCGTTAGAATATACTTTTGTTACATACTGTAAAGATAGTTTTATACGGTTTGGTTAAGACTAAATCATCGGCCTCGACGTAAAGACTGTCAACAGGAGAAGTTCTAAAAGAGAAAGTCTTAGAGCCTGGTGATGGATAGAATCCAGCAGTTTGAGGTTGCTTTTACAGCCCCCACCATATACGATGGAGTCGTAATCAAGTTTCGATCGGACTAATGATCTCTACAAATGAAGGAGGGTAGTTTGGTCCCCTCCCCAGTTTGAATTTGAAACGACATCCAATAAGTCGAGTGCCTTCAGGCATTTGGCTTTTAGATGTTTGATATGTGGCAGAAAGATTAAATGCGAGTCAAAGATGAGACCAATTAATTTAGCTTCCTTGTCAACTTTGATGTGTGCGCTTTTTAATGATAGTTCAGGGTCTTTATGGGATGTGTATTTTCTACAAAAATGTATACAATTGGTTTTGGATTTTGAAAATTAAATCCCGTTTCCATACACCATCTATTAATTTTGTTGAGACAAATTTGTAATTGTCTCTCAATAGTTCGCATATTTTTACCACAGCAAGAAATATTTAGATCATCGACAAAAAGGGATCCATCGATTGAATCACTTAAAACCTTTGAAAGACTATTTATTTTAATACTAAATAGATTGACAGACGAAATATTGCCTTGTGGGACACCCTGATCCTGATTGTAATGATCAGACAGGGTAGAACCCACACGGTCTTGAAATTGCCTGTGAGTTAAAAAGTTGGATATAAATTGAGGCAAACGGCCTCGCAATCCAAAATCATGTAAATCTCTTAAAATACCATTTTTCCATGCCGTGTCATATGCTTTTTCTAAATCGAAAAAGATCGACACATCATGTTGTTTTTGAATAATGACATTTTTTTACAAAATATTCTAAACGCAGACTGGTACTTCTGTTTTTACGGAAACCACATTGAATATCTGTTATAAGGTTATTAATTTTCCAAGTACAACACAATTCCATTATTTATCATGCGTACCATGGTCTTGCAAACGCAGCTAGTTAGTGAGATCGGTCGATAATTATCAGTATCAGAATTAGTATGATCACGTCCAGGTTTAGGGATGGGTAAAATAATAGCATCGCGCCATGAAGAAGGAAATTGTCCAGACGTCCAAATATCATCAAAAATGTTTAAGAGGGTTTCTAATCACGATTCCGGCAAGTGCTTCATGATACTATAATGCCGTTGTAATGTATGTTATCAGCCCCTGTAGCAGTATGGTGAGCTTGGTCAAGAGCAGTACGAAGCTCATGAATAGAAAATATTTCATTGTAGTCTTCCCCATTATCTGAATTGAAATTAATAGTGTTCTTTTCCGGTTGTGTTTGATATTTTTGGAATTGAGGTACATAATTCGACGAGGAAGAATGTTTGGCCAGAGTTTCTCCAAGTTTATTTGCTATATCGGATTTACTAGTTAGGAATTCGTCTCCGTCTTTAAGATGCTTAATGCTAGATTGAGAGCCTTTTCCTTTTATATTTTGGATCATGTTCCATACCTTTGATATCGGCGTTCGTGAATTTATTTTTGACACATAATTTCACCAGGATTGACGTTTACTTTGCTTGAAGGTATGTCGTGCCTTAGCATTTAAAATTTTAAATGTATTCAAATTATGGACCATAGGATGGCGACGGAAATAATACTCAGCCTTCGTCCGTGCCTTTCTAGCCTGTTTGCACTCATTGTTGATCCATCATTTTCGGATGTGTGGAATTGCAGAGGATTTGGGGATACATTCATCAGCTATATTGTTGAGTTCATCAGAAAAATCCTTTATCGCATCAGGAACATCAATAAAAAGTTCAGGTTTAAGTCTGTTACAACACAGAGTTTGATATAAATGCCAGTTATCTTTTTTAAAATCCCATCTTGAGAATGGGGCAATAGCAGATGGGTTCACAGGCTGTAGTACTGTTGGAAAATGATCACTTCCACAGAGGTTATTGTGGACTGACGATTCAAATTCATTCAAAAGGCGTGAGTCTGTAATTGATAAATCAAGAGCTGAATATTTCCTGTGCCATGATATAAATATGTGTTGGAACTGTCATTATATATACATAAATCATTTTATCTGACCACATTTCTTCTAATAGTTTACCCTTATCATAAGTAGTTGTACACCCCAAAGTAGGTTGTGGCCATTTAAATCCCTCATAACAATACAGGGCTTCGGGAGCTGGTCATATACACGGGCATGTTATGACATGTCACAAATGGAAAAAAAATCGCTACAGTTTTTGCTTCTTTTGTGGTTTATCTGGACATTATAAATGTAAGTTGCATTTTCATTAAAAAATAAATGTATTTAAATTGTAGTTGTATTATTTCAATTTTATTATAAAAATAAACTTCATATTTATCAGCATGATATAGGTAATGTCTGAGAATGTCTACATCTCTAAAATCCAAGATGGCGGTGAAATGTGAATAACGAACAACGGATATAGCGAACTAAATTTCTTGGTCCCTTGGAATTCGTTATATCCGTGCTCTACTGTAGGATTTGAAGTTCAGTCTTCTGAAGAGTTGAAGACAGTGAGATATACAAAGAGGATCATGTGAGCGCAAACTGTAAAGTGAGTCAAACGGCAACATTAGTATTAAGTGAAACAGGGCTATGGATAACCGTCTGTTTGATAAGGATCGAAGATCCTCCAGTAGCCCTATCACCTGGGGATGAAAAATAATGATATGCATTGAATGGCATAGTTCAAAAGTATCTGTCTGTTTTAAAATGTTTCCTGCAGACAGATTGCTGATGACTGAAATCCTGGACTAAGAGCTGCAATTCATTGAAATTAGTCCTTAGTCCTCGGCAATTCCATTGTCTGATATTATTCGGATAACCTTTCTTTTGAGGGGATTTATTGGGGATCTACCCTGCACTTTTTTGGTGGGCGACA